GTGAAAACCGCGGCCACCTAGCAGTCTGCGTTTGAATTGCACCACACAAAAGCAACACAGTAAATTTCTGCATGCAAATTCTCGCTAAAATAAGACAATACACTGCTTTTAAAGAGCAAGTCACCCACGACCAGATTCTTACTCAACTCCCACTTCCTGTTTGAATAATGGAACAAATGCTGTTGCCTAGCAGACCGAGAGGGCGGAGTCACTAACAAATACACACACTCACGACATTGTGACATCATAATGTACCATCTAACATCATAGTTTAACTTTTAGCCAATAGCGATGGCAGATTTAAATTCAAATGCATTGCAGAGTTTTAACCTGACGACGGTGCATCGCAGACAGTTTTAGGCAGAATATTTAAATTTTAACTAAAATGCCGAATTATTGAATACATTTGTCTACAGCACGATCAGACACCCATTTATATAGTTTATAAGCAAAAACATGTTGATTTGGAGTGACTTGCTCTTTAAAGATCAATTCAGTATCATAACATAAAAATATCATGATATTTATGTATATTTTTTTCATAATCTTAACTCAATTTTTTAGTCTTTTTTCTACATCTCTATCACAGCCAATCCCTCAAATATATTTTATTCACTTGTATGTTGAATTACAGACAGTTAGTTAGAATATGTCTTTTGTTTTTGCGTTAATATTTTCTGTTTGTGGCACAGCAGCGAGAAACCCTGGGACAGTTTATTTCAGCTGTTCACGCCGTGTACTAGACAGGCAAACTTTGGCAAAACTCTCGCTGATCTCAACTCAGAAATGTTGGCTCTCTGATGTGCTGTCAAGATGGTGTTCAAAAATAGACCGCAGTTTGCGTTTCAACCACTTACTCATGTGTCTTCACGCAGTAATTGTTCCTGTACCCTGCAGCCTCGGATGCTTTTAGTGTTAAGGAACGATGCATGGAAATAATCAAGCGTTTACCATGACGACAATTAGAGTTACTTCTAAAACTATTGACAACTAAAACAATATGTTAGAGATGTTGTTAGTGAAAATAAAAATAATAATGAATGAGACTAGCTCCATTCTTATATATATATATATATATATATATATATATATATATATATATATATATATAAGGAGCAGCTGAAGAGCCTTTAAGGGTGCCTGGAGCCATGATGACTCATCAGTCATTATTCACATAACAGTAACAGCTACTGAAATGTACAAGCTACACTTCAACGCATCAGATGAAAAGAAAGGTAAGAAGGGTCAAGGTAATGAATGTTAAAATGTGGCATGATGGGAAAAAAAACATAAGATGCTATTTCATCTATTATTTACTTTTTTTCTGAAGATTGTGTAATAATTTTTCCACTTTTTTGCTTCCTAAGTTTCATCGAGATTTTATACGACAGTAAGGTGGGATAGAAGATGTTCTTGCAGAGCTTTTTGTGCCATATTATCAGAAATGCTCTTCACATAACGATGACAACCAATAAATTAAATTTCCTATTAAAAAAAAACAATAACAATAATTGAGATTTTCTCTGAAACGTACAATCCTGTAAAAACCTCCTGCAATCATTGTAAACATCCCCTTGCTAATGACTGGATCCTGATCCATCCATCAAACTGCCCTCTAACCAAACCCCCTCTGCACATACCCCGCTTTGTGCACAAATCGATTGTTCTCGGTTTGGAGCAGGTGAACAGGATGTGAAGCCAGAGCAGAGCTAGCTATATTAGTTAGCATTCAAAACAATTATACAGTCATGTAGCCTGAACAGAAGTGGCAAAGGGCATTTCCAGCGTAACCCCAGTCCTTCCCATTGGTCCTTAGATCTAGGTCCCAGCAATTAGCATGGCAAGCTATAGTATTTGTGAATATATGGTCTGGACACTGCCCAGTGACAGCTCTTAGATGTGAAGTGGGATGTTTGATTGCTCAATCGCAGTAACAACCCACCCACCAACAAAGTGCTGTGATTGGACCGCTGCAGAGCCGTCGCCATCTTAGTTTTGATCAGTTGCACTAACTTCCTGCCTAACTGACTGATAAAGCGATGTGATTGGACCGCTACACATATCAGTGAACAGGACAGTCCTCCGTACATCATCAAAAAAGATGCAAACCTAACAGAGAGCTGTGAATGGCCAAATGGCCGGAGCTGCAGAGGTTCCACTGGAGTGTGGCTAAAGCATCCTTCTGTTTCGACAAACTGATATAGATCCCAGTCGCTTCTGCCCCTCAACCTTCTGTGGGGACAGAGTCCAGAGAACTCCTGATCTGCACCAGGTTAGACGTCCATCAGAAGCCTGGAGGCTCTGCGACTATAATTTGGTGCGTCATGTTAGAAATTATGGCAGAAAAGGTGTCAACAACAGGTCGAAAAGGTAAGATAACGTTATGTTTTATGGTTGTTTGACAGTATCTGTTGCCTCTGGCGTTTCCCTGTATTCTGGAAGAATAACTTAAAGGAGGAGCCTGAAATAAAGGGTTTGGACCTTTAAATGGTCTGTTTTCACAATGCTGCTAGCCTGAACAACTTTTCCCAGGACTATCTACCTTAATTCCAATAGTATCCATTTAAAAGTGTCAGCAGACTTTAGATTGCTAAACTCTGACAACCTAAAAGTGAACACGTGTCAAAGTAGACCACATCACATCAGATGTGTCTCAGTCCACATGACCCTATTGTGATAAACCCTGACAGAAAAAAATGCGGCATGCAGGCAGTGTGTCTGCAGGCCCGACATGCACTGCAGGTTTTCACAAAAGGTCGATCAATGCCTGCAACTCCTGCAGGAGGAGCAACGGAGAGCACACCTCTGCACAAAGTAACTCATCACAATCATATCAATGCCCTATCTTATGCAAACAGAGTTTTTAACTTGATTTGATTACCACTGGTCTGTGTGATGCATTGAGTGCATAAATCATCCTGATGGCTGGAAACAGAGCATAAAGGACTTGAAGCATGACGAGTGAATGATCAGAATGTTTAATGGGTTTTGTGTTGGTCTGAAATTGTTGATTTGATTAAATATGCTACAGTTGAGCTGCATGTTGCAGAACCACTTGTTTAAAATATAAAAGTATTGCATTGTACTGTGTTTGATTTAATAATAACATGGTTGAAAACAGCAAAAATACAGTTAAATCTTTCTCTGAGCTTGTTTTCCCCACCCATATCGTATGGATTTTATTTTTTAGAACTCCATGATTTAAAATCTAAAATTCATGAAAAAAATACATTAAATGATTTATTTGAGAGAGAAACGAAAACCAACATGGATTTCATAAAACCCCATTTATCTTTTTGTGTGATTTTACAAAAAAGATTAGTTGAAATCCTAAAAGATTTAAAGAAATCTCCACCATAACTGGTCTATTTCTAAACAATTATTCACGACAATTCTTTGAATAATTGTATTTATTGTTGTGAAATGCTGCACAAAAACAACACAGAACACAATCAAGTTGATCTGAATTATGTACCTGGTTTAAAAATGATCTAAACCAGATGGTGTGAGTTAATCCACTTCTTAGACTAGCTGTTTGGCTGTACTTTTGGATTATTTAATGATATATAATAATACAAATTTTGGGTTACTTCAGTAAGAATATTGTTGTTGTATGGAGGTCAAAACCATCATTTATCCAATTATGAGAAAACTGAATAAAAACTGGTAGAAAATAAATCAATTTGCATGTTTCTCTTTGAAATCGTGATAAAACTTAAAATTGTATAATATCTAAGAATAAAATGATCTCAGACAACGCCTTCTATGAATAGAGGTGGATGATATGACCACATTCAATGTTTAATAATAAATACTGACAATCCAGCATAGCAGAGATTGAAGTTTTGTCTAAATGTAACGTTATTTCAAAGATTTGTTCAAAAAATGTAAGTTGGCTCAAAGGCATTGCTGTATTTTCCTTTTACAGATAGATAGCACTAAACCATTAAAACTGTAAAAAATACAGTTTTGACTATTTTTACTGTAAACAACACAGTGATGTGACACCCCCCCCCCCCCCCCCCCCCCCCCACACACACACACACTTTTATGCAATAGTGTTGATCAAGCTTTTAAATATCACCAAGACCAGTAAACATCAATATGATCTATTCAAAAAAGGGTCTGCATAACTGAATCCATCCCACCATACTCCCTGGTATGCATTTTAATGAAAACATGGTTCTCGAATCTGAGGAGTAGCAGACTTTAAAGTAACCCTGAAGGCCTCGCAGACATGCAACTACTGCCGAGTATCATCCCCTCTGCTGCAGCATCCAGGACTGTCTAGGAACCTCTCGGTGAACTCCCATGGCTGACCTATAGAAGAAACTTTTCCCATGATTTTACACAGCGATGAGTCATCCTCAAGAACAAAGACCTTCCACACTGAAGCACAAAAGCATCTGCTAACGGGCCAGTGGTGCAGACATGATGCATCGCCTGATGCTGTTGCTGCAGCACAATGTCATTCAAGTAGTCACAGGCTGACAGAGGCCAGCAACATGCATATTCCCAGCTAAAGGCTTCATATGAATTCAAACCAGACAAGCAAAGAAAGCTCAGTAATCCTCTAAACAAAAGAGCATGGCTGATTACGGCCCAGCCCTCAGACTGCAGCAGGGATGCCCACCTGCCACTGGACCCAGCCGGCTGCACAGAAAATGGAGAACCGATTCAGGAAGCACTAAGGAAATCACAGCAGCAGAGCAGATTAATGCAACTGTATTAGTGGGTTGTTTAATTTATAAAGGAGAATGAATTTGCTAAAGATAATAAGAGAAAATAAGATGGATTTTTTTAAATCTTGAAAACAAGTAAAACCCTTCAGTGATTTATCAAAGCACCGATGCTGTTATGGATGAAGTAATTAATTATTCATCTCCCTCCCGCTCTCTGTTCAGTGCATTATGGTGGACTCCGGGTAGAGGCACAAACAAGATGAGAGAGCAGAAACACGACCGCATGAAAAGGAGTGAGAGGCCAAGAATGTCACTTACATAAACTCCCGAGCAGGAGGGTCAGAGAGAGGCTCCCATTGTCAGTCTGTCGATCCTCCAGCACAGAACCACAATCCACAGACAAGGCGACAGAAAGGAAAGGGCAGGGTCTGTCTGGGAGAGAAGACGGGGACAGCGAGGAAAAGGAGAGGAGTGGTGGAGAGAAGGCGCCCGGGGGGGCGTGGCCTATCCGTAGAGCCGGCAGGCGGAGCCACAGGATCCTGGAGGGGGCAGAGATTATGCAAAAGAGATGACGTCCTGTATGGAGGACTCATCCTGCCAAGGAAAGCAAAAAAGAAAACGCCTTTATTTATGATTCATTTACGTCCAAATAGATTTAGTTGTCGATTTATTTATTTGGACATGAACTTATTCATTTATTTACACACATTTGTACTTCCTCATCATTTATTCACATTTGTACGTCCTCATCCTTTTATTTATCCTCAATACCTTCTCTTCATGCTGCTGATTCTACCAATTGTCTCTTTCTTCACACTTTTTATTTACACCAAGCCCCCACAATGCGGCTCTAAAATTGGTCCCAACCCGGAAGTACCAAAAATTGCAGTTCCACCCTCATCCGCTGGGGGCTGGTGTCAGAAGCGAGCAAATCCTCATTGACTCCCTTGTTAAAAATGCCAATTTCACAGCAGAAATAAACATGTTTACAGCCTGGTACCAAAACAGGTTTTTTGTTTAAATTATCTAGTTTACACTCATGACAACTCTGAGGGGGCTGAATTTTTATCTCACTCTTCTGTTTAAGTGTATTAAAAGCCTAAAATTCTGTATAATTAATGAGCATCTGACCCACGTGACCACAGAGCTAGCTCCGTGGAAAGGCCTCAGTAGGGCCTCGGTCTGGCTTGGAAACTGCTCCGGGATTTAGAGTATCTGTGTTTGTGTATTCTGTTTTGGATATTTTTAGTGCAATTGTTGGACAAAATGACTTGCTGTGGCATTAATTGCACTAATAGAGCGTCCAAGGAGTCTCCACTTCATTTTTTCGATAAGTAAAATTATATTCATGTATTTTAGGTCACTGCCGAGCTGAGCTTAGATTTTAACATGTACTGTTTAACCATGAAATGTAAATGTAATAGGGTAAAACCCAGTGCATTTAACATAATGCTGCACTTTAGAAAATGGGTTGAAATATAACATGTTGGTGGAGCTGGGTTCCGACTATCGGCTTGTGGAGCTCTCGGGAGACAGATGTTTTCCACCCGGAATGCCGGCTGTTTCTCCCCGCAGCTCGGCACATCGCTGTCTGATCGCGGCTTCTGTGTGCTGCGGCGGGCTGACGGCTGGTTCTTATGGCAAGCCAGAACCGCCAAAATACGCCACTTCTCCCCGCAGCTCGGCGCATCTCTGTCTGATCGCGGCTTCTGTGGGCTACAGCGGGCTGACGGCTTGTGGAGCTCTGGGATGGAAACCTTTCCACCCGGTTCTCCCCAGCGGCAGCTCTGCGCAGCGGCGCTTGTCTGCTGTGCAGCTGCCGGCTTGTGGAGGTCTCCGAGACCTCTGTGTTCCACTCGGTTTTACCCAGCGGTCAGCCCGGCGTATCTCTGACTCAGAAGTTCTGGTGTTGTGCACAGTTAACTCCGGTTGTAGCTAGGTTGCTACCTCCGTTAGCTTAGCTCCCACCTCCGCATTAGCGTTGGGTTAGCTTCAGGTTAGCTTGTAGCTAGTTCGACCGGGTGTCGTCACTTGATCCCAGCCTTACAGCCCCACCCTCAGCTCCTCCTCTCTTCCCTTTTATGGAATTGTCTGGGCTTGATGGAACCTGTGACAAGGTCAAAATGGCGGTGGTGGCCACCTCCCATTTTATTACAAAAACTTGTTATTGGAGTCTATGGAAACCCATTGTCCATATATTAATGTTGATGATTCACACACACACACACACACACACACACACACACACACACACACACACACACACACACACACACACACACACATTTTCTATTATGATATATGTAAAAAATTTACTTTTTTATTTTGTTGTTTTGAAGCACCTCATGATTTTTATATTCAGAGGTACTATATAAAAATTGTTTCTTCTTCTTCACTTATTTATTTCCTAATTTATACATTTGTTTTAAATTAAGTATTTATTTATTTCCTGTTTTGGCAGGATGAGCATTCCACAGTTTGAGTCCTCCATACTCAGGATCTGACTGGAGGAAATTATGTCTGCTGCAAAGGGGTTGGCTTCTTTAGTTCCCACCCAACATCCTTAAAAGGGCAAAGGATGCACTTTAATCCACACAGGTCATCTAATTGTTAGTATGCAAAGTTTTGTTGGGACTATTTAGCAAATGATCATGCAAATGTGAAAATTTTAACACACTTATTTAAACATTTTATAGTTAGTTCGTCATTATTTCCCAAAGGAGCCATTTAAAAAAATTAAAAGAACTTAAACTTATAATTATTTTGATAAATAAAAAGATTGTAGAAAAACGCATCCAGGTTGGGAACTCTTTTCCCTTCTGTTAAATACTGATACAGTTTATTTGGGTGTTGGTATGAAACTGTTGACTTAAAAAAGAAAAGGAGATAGAAAGAGGAAAAGTACAAGACTTCTTAATGTGGTTTAAAGAAGGGATGCAACAGTGTAAAAGTACCCCGTGTGCTCCATAAAAGGTGGTAATCTGTAATATAATGTGTTGTATTGTGTGAATGCTGTAGGCTATGGGGCATTTGTTGGGGGTGGGGCTAAGGGTGAAGGGCAAACTGCCTTCTCTGGCTTTTATTCTGCAGTGTGGGTTGCCATGGAGACTGCATCCAGTTTAGTCAAGATGCCTGCTGCAGTCTGGCATCAGCAGTGAACAGAACACACATACATAATAAAAGCTTCTCTGGCATGACTGGCATTTCCTGAATAACTTCAGCTCTCAGCAGGCTGAGATGTGATGTAATGCTTCATACATTTAGTTATAAATAAACCATCATTTTAGTTTTATGTACCGTACTTTGTATAATTTGTGTCCTCAAGGTTACACTTAATTAGAAAAATACACTACTAACACTATTGAACTTGCAGGTTCCCAATGAAGCAATGAGCTGCAACAATTATGTATTTGTTATTTTTATTGAATTAGTGTCAATTTTTTTCATTTGTACAAAATGAATTTTTTTTGTTCCATCATCACATAACAGGTTTTTTTTCATCAGAGGCGCTGTTAGAATTATTATAGCAGACTGCAATCCCATCCACAGGTGGAGCTAACAGACATTTGTCATTTCTTCAGGCCCAACAACATCTGATCTTGTCGTCTGTCATCAACAACGAAGGATTTTACTAAATAATGTAATTTGTCTATTATACAGAAATAAAATCAGTTAATAAATTTATCCAGGTTCTTCAATGTTTTATTCATTTATTTTGATTCAGTCATAAAAACATTCCGAACACACAACTGGGCCCCTTTTTTTAACTTGACATAAACTGGAAGAAAAAAAAACATTTTGTCTCAAAACAACATTTGCAGCAATCTGATCTTATTTCCATGGTCATACTTGGTCTTCTCTTGGTTGGATTAATGCAAGTTTTAAAAACTATAGTGATTCCAACTTTTTAAGGATATTTAAATTAACGTTTGATTTATTTTATGCACTGGAAGACTTCCTCCATCGAGCTAACAGTAATAACTGAGCTGTGCTGTTCAAAGGTCAACAATAAAAACATATTCTCAAGTTCTTTTAGGATCAGAATTGTGCCACAGATTCTCCGTGGTTAAGCTCTGTTCACACACAGGAAGCCTTTGTAACACTGACCCATATTAGATGAAAACAAAGGATGAATTCACAGTGAAAACAAACACAAAAGGTCCTGCAAATCTGCAGCAACAGACCGGGAATTCAACAAATCAGAATGGAAATACACAGATCATGGTACACATTTTTTTAAAATTATCAAAATTGTACATAATCATATAAAAACAAGTCATTTTAACAGATTATGCTGTAATCTCATCTCCAATCTCAACACTTCCTCTGCACATTCTTATTTTTTTTTTCTTACTTACCAAATTTTTGGCACTTCCTCGTTATCCAACGTTCTGACACAGTCAGCAAAAACAAACCTCTAACACTGACTTTGCCCATCTTTCTTTTGATATTCAACAACATACAGCTTGCCTTCACAAAACTTCCCTCACACACACTCACACACACCCTCCTCTTTCATCTTACTGTCAAACCTGCCATCTAGTGGTATAAAATACAAGCTACCTCCTTAAAAGAAGTCTTCAAATTGCTACCTGCAACTCTTCCCTTTAAATAAAATCAGCAAACTGTCACCATTAGTAAACACATCTCACTAATATATTATTTTAATTCAACTCTGATTCTAAATAACATGTAAATTACTGAAGCTTAAAAGCTACATATTACATTTTCATCTAATTCCCACAGGTCCGGAGCGCCTACACACTGGAGTCGGTACCCTTGTGAAGAGCCTCCCTGCCGTGCGGCTGTTTGCCCAAATCACCAAGGCGTTTAAGGAAGTTAAAGAAAAATCCAGGGTTCTCGGACTTAAACCACGAGGTCTGAGGAAGAATGTTTTCATTGTTTATCTGCTGGTCTTTGCCTGCACTCTCCATTGATTCACCCTCTCGGATTAGCTCCCGAAACCCCCCATCTGAAACACAGATTGAAGAATCCATTGGTTGACTTTTCTCTCCAGCTGATGAGGAACTCTGGTCTTGACCACATGACTTTTGAAGGTAGTGAGAAGCGTCATTAAAATCAAAGACTGGTTTTGGTCCAACAGCTTGTTTCAGCTGGGATTCTTTGACTTGTGCCAAATGATTTGGACTTTTAGCGGTTGACCGACTCCTCTGATTACACTGCTGTTCCTTCTCTTGAGCCACGTTCGTAGGCATGGTGTGTCGGCGAACGGGGGTGCGTTTTGAGGAAGTCTGCGAGCCGAGCAAAAATTTAACCAGATCCTCATTGGTCGGGTCATCAGAGTACCTCTGTGTTTCCTCATCAAAGGTCAGCTGACGAGACAAAGTGGACTTTGAAGCGGGAGACTTCAGATTTTCCGGAGGGTTTTCGGCTGAAGAGGTGCTGCCACGGCTCTTCTGATACAGCATCACCTTCTTGGATGCTTCACGTAACTTTTGCGCCTCCTCCTCATTGTTGTCTTGCACATCCTCCTCATCGCCCTCGGCAGTGACGGAGAAAGCCCTGATTGTGGAGATGATGCTTGTAGTTAATCTGGCTGGTTGTATCGAGCCCTTAGAGTTTTCTTCATTAATCATTTTAATCTCTTCATCGTGGATTTTGTCATATTTTGCTTTATTTTCCTCAAAACGTGACTTATCTGCAAATGTTTCTGTGAGTTCAGCTGCTGAGTTCCACTCTTTTCTGCACATGTCCTTGGTTCTGAAAATGTCTCGATGCTTTTGATTTTCAGAGGGAAGACTTAACTGTGAGCCGACTTCTGATAGGCTCCCATTGGCTGGACTGCCGTTCCTGGGGCTTCCTTGTGTTGGAGAACTCCTTGCAGATCTCTTTTTAAACATGTGATCCGTAAGAATGTTTTGGAGCGCATATTCTAATGCAATACCATCCATGTCTTTGTCTCTGCTGGAGCAGGTAGCAGTGGATCTGCGCTTGGCCGTGTTATCGAATCGATTAATGCGTTTCCGCTTGATCTCTGCCACCTCTCTCGCCTTGTTTTCCTGCAGAGAAAGTAACATAATAATGAATAAAGACAAGAGTTTATTTTAGCCTGGATGAGAAGCACACCAGTATATGAATTTACCTTCATGGCTCGCCTGAACTTTTCACAGAACGAGTGAAAAATGGAGCAACATTCCTCCAGTCGGAAAGTCGTAGGATCTTCACAGAAGTACTCGGCCACAGAGTCGCTCGCTGACTGCAGTTCTTCCCGATCGGCTCCTACTTCCTCCAGGCAAATTTGGGCTTCCTGAACAAAGCCCAAACCAAGAAGTTTGCCTGTTTGTTTGATCATTAAGTTTCACATTAACGTACACCTACAGCGATCCTCACCTGAAGAAAAACCTCCATCTGTGCCTTTAAATCTTCATGTTTCATAGTGTTTGTTTTGGCGTCTTGGATTTTCTTCACCTGCCTTTCAAATTCAGCGTCAATGTCGCCTTTATTTATTCTAGAACATTCAAAATAATAAATATTACAAATCTACAGCAGATTTCTAAATTACACTGAGATGCCATCAAACGACTACCTTGCTGCAGCTTCGATGTGTTTGAGTTGTTCTGGAAATTGAAGCAGTGCTCCATCTGCCTTCTCAGCTTGCTGTGTGGTTAAAATGCGTAATGATCACATTTGACTTTAATGCATAAAAACAAGGCTTCATTGCAATCAAATGGAAGTATTAAAGATGACTTGCCATCACAACATAATGCATCAGATTCATTCCAGGTTTGTTTGCTTTGGTATCAGCCAACTTCAGCAGAGAGGACATTCGGAAGCCTATTGCACTGCCTGCATAGCCACCCTGTGAATAAACACAACGCTTTACATCAAATATGCATAAAGGAAGAAATAAATACCTTCAATACTCCTGAATAACAAAAAACACTCACAGCATTCATGTAATTTCCAGTCTTCAGTACCAAGCGGATGACAGAATGGAGGTTTTCGCATTCTAACAGCTCTAACAGAAATGACACGGTGTTCAAATCCACATTCAAAGATTTATCTGGCTCAAGTCTCGTGAATATTGCAAGGACATCAAACATACCTTGTCCAGCAGTTGCCAGAGTGCTAATGAATTTTCTCATTTCATTCATGAGGGGGAAAAATTCCTCTTTCAACACCAAGTATTTCAGACGCTCTTCATAACTAGTAAACAAAAGCCATCATCTCACTAGAAGAGCATCAAGATCACTAAAATATACCATTATTGGAATTTCAGGATGCTTACCTGGGAATCTGGACCAGCTTTAGCATGAATAGATCCGCTTCAGGAAGAGCAGCTGGGTCCCCCTTAAAACCAACCAGCTGCTTTGCCTGCATCCAGGAAAGACAAAATAATGCAAATTATAAATCTGAGCTGCTATTCTCAGATAAAAAATACAAAGAACTGAAGATAAAAAAGCTGACTCGAATACCTCCCCTTCATCTGGCAGCAACCTGCACAACTCCTGTAGTTTCCCTGTGCCAAAACGGAGAGCCATGCCTGACCTGATGTCCTGGATCATGTCTTTCACAGGCCTGAGGATGAAGGTGGAGACACAGGAAGGATTCAGTCAACATCAATCACAATCACAGTATGTGATGTGCACTTTAAAAACGTTGGCCTCAGACAGTAACAAGCCCCACCCTGTTCTAGATGCTCTGCAAACCCAAAAATCCAACAAAAAATGTTCTGGAAAAAAAATAAAATGCACAAAATCAATGAATATTTTTTCATTTTTGAGTTGCTGACTTTTCTATCAGTTGAGCTGCAAATGTTTTATGAGATTATTGACTTCCTGTTGCATGTGTTGCGGTTGCCAAACAGCCTTGAACATTATGTTAACAAATCTGTTCAGTTACAGAGACAATCTGAACTGAATACCAGAGACGTCACCCTGCAGATCCAGCATGTTTGGACACGTCGCCTCTCAAAGGTTTGTCAGTATAACGCAGCCATGTGGCAGACCAACCTACTGTATCTGCCTCATCAGGAGCCCTTTTGCACTGTAACATGAAGAAAATGTTGCGCAAAGCCACAAACACCGCTGACTCACCGCTTGAACTGCTTCAAAAATATTCCAATGTTCATGCTCCTCTTGGAGCTGAGGATGGAAACCTGGAAAGGAAAGGACACAGATGCCCACATATATCATCAGTTCAGTATCGGCCTGTGAAGCATCTTGTTTATCACAAACACCTCGACTTTCCTAATGAGACAGCTGATTCCAAAGGTTAACGAGTTTCTGAGCTGGCTATTGAACAGTGTGGAGACAGATAAAAACATATTTTGGACATTATTAAGTGTATTTTTCCAAGAACCAAATCAAATTAACACATTTTTGACTGAACTGGGATGATTAAGGACAAACATACTGTTTACTACATCAATAGTGACAACTGAGAGCAGCACGAGTCTATTTTTAAGGACACAATTATGCCTTCCTTTGGTCAACAAATTAGAAAAGCAAGACTCCACCCTTGTTTTCAGTTGGTCATTGTTGCTACATACAATGCATTTCTTTTATTCATTTTTTTGCTGTTTTGGTCAAACAATGTGTTAATAAATGGTTTGAATTTTTGCAAAAAGGTATGCTGGACAGAACTCGGTTGTGCAACAGAATCTACAGTCTATGCACGCAATTGGACTGCACTACGACCAATCAGAGCAACGTCATATATCCGTATCTACTGTAACTAGACTGGGCAGTCAGTTACATTGTTGCTTGCTTAAAACATTTCATGCCTTTAAACAACTTTCTAACATAGTATAGCTATGAATGTTTTGTAGAGATTAAAAATAAATGAAAGAAATGAATAAAGTGGTTCTCTTGCATGTGTCTAAAAACCTCAGTCAATAACCAAGTCAGACCGAAACCAACGAATGGACCATCCAGTTGTTGGCATCTCTGCACTTCCGTACTTTCCTGGGTCTTCCACTCATTGCACGCTCATGCATTTAGCTACAGAACACCACTGGTGTGAGAGGTTCTCTGCTCAATTACGTCAGAGAAGGAGAAACCCAAAAAGAAAAAAAAAATTATTGAAGTCACGGGGAAAAAAATATGTTTGGACCGAGAAACGGCAAATGGCGTTTAACACCATCTCTTTTCCTCTGGGAATACTGGTTCCGGCGGCTGTGGCCCAGAGATGGTAGCCGATGGGAGGGGTGAGTGTTCCATGACCGCATTTGTGTTTAAAAGCTAGCTTGTTCTGTAGATTTGTAAGTACCTCGATCTGCTCAAGTCTCAAAGAAAAGCCCCAGTCTTAATTGTCCAAAGTTGATGGTAAAGATGTTTTACGTGAGCTCCGTTCCTGAGCCAATGCCGCATTGGTAGTGTTTCTTCATTGCAGCTCTGGTGCTAAGCCTGTCCCAAACTTTCTTTACAAACAGACCGCTGTGATAGTGTGGACCTAAAGTGTGAACCTAAAATTGTCCAGACCAATGGTAGACCTGCTGAGCCTACAGTGTAGCATGGCTAAACCGATCTGCAGAGCTAAATCTTTTGCTACTGCTGTGGTCGGTCTAAATTTATTTGTTTTTTTTTTTTGTTTTTGTTTTTTTTTAATGATGAGCCAAGCCAGTGACTTTATGTCAGTTCTTGTAAATGATTGATGCAGCAGTGCTTGACCATTTTACAAAAGGAGTTTGTTGGGATCTGCAACGCTCACCTTGAGAAAGAAAAATCAACTGGGGTCAAAATAACATGTTTTGGTATCTCAATATTTCATTGTAAATATGATTTAATAATGTAACAATCTGTTGAATTTATGGGTGATGAGGTGTAAAACTGCTCACCAGTTCCCTTCCTGGACCAGAAAGTGGTTGCCCTCTGACACTTGGATGGTTTAGGCCTTTGAGCTGTTGCTGACTATGGCTAAACAACTCCTCCATATGATCCGTGTCCAGCTCATACTTCCCATCTGTCTTATCAGCGGTCCAGATGTTGTGCTTCCCCATTACACTGTGTTTGGGAAGGGTTTCCCAGTTGAAATTGCGCATCCTGGACCGCCGCCGGCCAATGAGGCCAGGTCCATGTTGGGATGGAGGAAGTCCAGGGGGTGGAGGTGGTGGTGGAGGAGGTGGAGGTGGAAGAAGTGGTGGTGGTGGTGGTGGAACAGAAGGAATTACTGACTGCATCTCTAAATTAGATGGCCTCGGGAGCTCCTATGAACACAAACTGGAATGTTAACAAATGTCCAGTTAAATGTTAGGTTTACTTTGACTAGAAAACTATTTAAATGTGTTTGAAAAGGAAAGGAAGTTTTATTTATGAGCTATAGCACATTACACAGAGGCAATGCAATGTGCTTTCAGGTGAAATAAACAGCAAAAACATAAAATAACACAATGTGTTTAAAATTAAAATACACAATTTCAGAAAAATAAAAGACTATGTTACAAATCTAATCAGTTATTGCCAAAGGCAGATGAAAACATCTGTGTTTTCCATTTTGATTTAAATGTTGCTAGAGTTGGGGCACATTTGAGGTTAACTGGAAGCTTATTAGAGAATATAGAATTTTTTAGGGTTCAATAGTGTTTAATAAACTTCTTTAAAGTTAACTAAAGTTGTACCATTGAATAAACCTCACACAAAACTGCTGAAACGTCCAAAAATGGCATTAAATTCTAGTCTATCTTAGAACAACAATTCTCTTATCTACAACTTGTTACTTGTGTCAGACAAATAACGAAGGTCGAACACGTGATCACCCTTTAAATAGAAAACATCTTTAGTTTTCTGTGTGATAAAAAAAGCACCCTTAATTCTCACTGTCCATGTTTTCCTCAGCACCAACTCTAAAACCTAAAACAAGCATTAACTTATTTCTGTTCAGAAACTCTCATGAAACGTAAAAGATTACTTACGTGTGAATAGGTGTGAGCAGAAGTCCCATTTCGTTTCTTACTCTTTTGTTGGAACTTCGGGAACACCAGTTACGTCAGCCAGGATATAGTATGGAGAGAGTGTCGAAATTACCTGCGGGTTTGACGACACACCCAGGTAAGTCATTTCTTTCCATGTTAGTCCACACCTTCCCAGCACCAACAAATCTGCCTTTGATTCCCGATTTACGGTATCGGCATGTTGGCAGGAGTTTGTGACAGAGCTGCCTTCTCTGTCCAGCTGTCAGGTCACGACTCATGTGAGCGGAATCCGGACCTCCTGATCCTCTCATCGGAATTCCCATTGATTGGAGCTATTTAGAGGCGGGTTGGGGTTGTTTTAGGGATGCCTGAGCGCCCATCAATTCCTCAGCAACCCAATAAAAACCAAACACCAATCGTAACTTTGTAAGGGTGACTTTTTTTGTTTGTTTAATGGAAGGTGAGCGCTAGCTGGATTTTACTTTAAAACCAGCTTTTATTTTGAAAATGAACCCTGTTTTGCTTTCCGCTAGTTTGGACTGATGTTTGGACAGCTCTGCAGACTAAAAATAAGAATGCAACGTTGCCTGAAAGGACTGAAGCTTTGAGTTGTATGGAACCCGGTGTTTGTGCAACACGTGTTTTTAGGGAACGGCTTCAGATTAAAATAAATGAAAACAGAATTAAAAACATTTTATCTTTGAGTCTTTCTTTCACTCAAGAAAACAATGTTTATTCTGTGACAAAGAAAAATATAAAGTGTCGAGAAATGTCAACAAATAAATGGACATTGTTTTCAGAATTAAGTTGAAATGTCCAGAAAAAAATTGATTGCAGTTTTATTCAAGAAAGGCAAAAGCCTTTGTTTTATTGGCATTGTTAAAAAATGGTTATGAGTGTGATAAGAAAAAACATGTATTACAAAAACGAAAAAAAAAAACGTATTGATTTCAAGGTTGTTTTCTTTCGCAGCAGGCTCCGCAGTGAGAACTTCCTTAAATCCTTCAAAATAAGAGTCTGAAGCATGCTCACAAATATCTCAAGGGATTTCAAGCCTTAAAATAGTTTATTATATACATTATATTATTATCATAAAGTAAACAATTAAGTTCAGATGCAAACTGGGATTTGCTTTTTTGGGCTATTCTTCAAATTGTTACTTTTTCAGAACTATTTTTATTGTTTTTCTTTCTACAGTATGTTCATCTGAGGCTTTGCCATTAAAACTGCTTTAAAAAAACAAGACATTTTTAAAACATGCAGTTTTTAACATTTTGGAAGATGGCCAATATTCCCATTCTGATATTTTAAATCACATTATGCCTGATCAATAGCAAACTGAAGAAAAAATACTACAATATACACAAAAACATAACAAGCAACTGCATATTTTTCACTTGTTTTGTGAAAATGCATTGTTTATATTTAATACTTTTTGGAGCATTTTCAGTTTGCAGCAGCTTACTGAAACAAACCTGAGATAATTAGTTTATCACAAGTTAGTACCAAATAAAATGTAGCTGTTCTAAATGAAGTGTGAAGTTTTTTGTTGATAACAGAGTGTGAATTATAAAAATATCATGCTATGATCAGAGATTGACCTGAAATGTGTAATTAAGAGGAAATAGCAAACATAACAGCTGATCAAACCTTCGTTATTTTGTATCATCGTTTAAACTATTGATGTTTTCCACATTCCATCACGACAAATCTGAGTCAACGACACTGTTCGATGAAATGTAACGACCAGCACTTTATTGGAAATGCAGAACAAGAATAACACAATCAGCTGACTACAGCCTTAAAAGAAACCTCCATAACATACATTGTGTTACAAACAAGTGAATAAATAAAACTAACTCTGTACATTCTTTATTCAAAGGGACACTGACATTTGTACAGCAATCTAAAGTGCATGTGATTTTACTGGCTGTAATTTGAGATTAATTATGCAGTTTAAGATTTTAATACATCAAACTGTAAAAGTTAAAGGTGTGGAACACCGAAAAACCATATTTTCAAAATTATGTCAGATTATAATGAATCACTGAGTTTTTCATGCTGGCTGAACATAAAAATAATCTCCTACACCCATTTCCTGCATTCACTTCTGATAAAAAATAATGGTGAAACTCTAGGATTTCAAAATCCTGATAGATCCACATCACACAGTCACTTAACATTCATGGACTCACAGGGAAGTACACAGAGGCATCTGGGGGAACCCTATATTTTGCCTTGGCCCCCAAAGTGCCTTGACATGGCCCTGGGTGTGACCACGTCAGTGAGGTTAAGCACCGGCGCACGGGTGATGAGCTCCACAGCAGCGGAGCGCGTCAGGCACAGATACAAAACAGAAAGTACCAGAGCATATGAGCAGGCATGAACGATAGTGTGTTAACTATTTTTTTTTTGGTGGCGCCACTTTGAGAATGTTGCTGTGGCCATGCGCAGGATGCAGCTGCCTGAGCGCATGAACAATCAGCACTTTCTGTCTTCTCCGCTCATAAAAAGTGTCGGTACACTGAGAGTACATATAAAGAATGCAATATAGATTAAAAAAGTTTTTATATTTTTTTTTCCCAGGCTCCTCCTGGGTGTGTAAGCTGTGGGCTTCCAGGAGAGCCTGTCATCCTTTCAGGGGAGCTGGGCTCCCCTTAGCTCGCCCTAATTCGAACTCTGTGGACCCATCCATCTTAACTCCTGACGGGGAAGGCTGTTGGTTTAGCGTCCAGGAAACAGAGAACATCACAACAAGTGGAAGCTATATGTTAGCATTAGCAACTCCACAACACAGAACTGTTCCAGGCTTGTGTTCTTTGTGAAGATAAAACATCAACGTAAAACAAGCTGAGTCAGCCAATTAGAGGAGAGATGTTTAAATATCAGGAAATAAAGACTCCAAATCCTGCCATCTGAACCTCAACTCTGATGTGGCTCACTTCTACTTCCTGAAACTGGTGCACCCAAGCTTTGTTTCCCCAGAGTACAACTTACAAGGCATTCATTTGTTCCTACTAGAGACCACTGCAAATGTATAAATTAAACGAGTGATCCACACCTTTAAGAATAAATGTGATTGTTTTTTTTTCTATTTCCCTCACACACCGATACCTTCTATTGTACCAAAACTGAACTAGCTTTTTACCACATTTTAATTTTTGTACAATAACTGATCATTCAGTTATAAAGCATCAGACATGTATCGATTGCTGCAAAAATACTGGAAATGTGACATCCAGTTTCAGTTTGGAAGCATAAACTCTGAAGTACAAAAACAAACACATACCTGTAATAGTGCTGGATTCATATGAATATACTTTATCTGCAGTCACCATAAATTTACAAGACCAAATCATTTAGGATTGTGTATTATGTTAAAGAAAAATCCCTATATTCCCCGTATACGTTGGTTCCCCCTAAACATCAACAGTAAAATCACTATTCAGGCAGGTATTCCACAAAGTGATGGTAAAACAACACCAGTTCATTTGGAAAACTAAAGCAATATCATGAGATCTGACATAAGATCTGTAAAAATATGAAGAAAATGGTTCAGAAAATACAGTTCAGGACAATATCTCATAACATTGTTTACAATATTCCAGCAATCCAATCTGTGGAATTTCTGCAACGATTATTTATCTTTAGGCAACATAAAAAAATTCAATGACATGTGCAAACAGCCCAAGTGGATTTCCACTCTAAACCTAATGGTGTACATAAATATGTGACTTACACAGATGATTGTACTAATAAAGATCAAAATAACAAAAGTGGATTATTTCATTTATGATACAGAAAAAAAAAACATTAAAAAAGATTTCTCTGTTCTACTGATCCTGCAAATAAACCTCTCTTAAGCTTTGTATTCTTGTCCATCTAACCACAATGCCACTTTAGTTTTTCATTTTTTAACTGATCACCACACACGTCAAACAGCTGAACCCTGGCCGCTCATTACTGCTCCTCCAACCAGGACGGTTTGTCGGATCCTGGAGGCTTTAGCTTTACATTAAACTGTATTAAAGTTTGTTCCAACTGTTGCTGGTTGCCAGCAAAGTAAGCAGAGATTGCATTATGGAAGAGAAGCAGCTGCTTGTGCATTACCTTCACCTAGAAGAAAAAAGAAAAGATGGAAATTCTCATTTTAAATACAATTATATTTGCAAGTAAATAAACGTTTTTACTAAAACTAAAGTGAACTAGTTCAAACAAATTGTGGCTGCCAAAAAAGACAGACAAGAATGCAATCCAAATTCCCCAATCTAATCTAAATAGGATGTTTTGAAACAAGTTTTTGTTTTTAAAAGCATTTCCATCAAGGCATGACCGCATCAAGCACCAATGGTCTTTGAGTTTGGGTGTGGACACATTTCTGCTCTACTGTATGTCTGACCACACCCTACTGTGATGTCATGGGGTGATTCCTGCACTATAATGGGAATTCACGAGTATTGTCATTATGGTGACTATAAAGATGAAAAAACAGATTATTTTGGTTTCTAGCTCAATAAAAGCTTTTAAAAAAGCTAGACTGTGTCACAAATGTTCCAGCTGGACTAAACATAAGGCTGATATTTTTTTTACCCCCAAAGACAAACACGCTTCAACTATCGGAGCTTCCGGGTAATTTTACCGGAGCTACTGGAAAATAACATTTAAATTGAACAAAAGCATGCACTAATTTTGTCAAACAAACCTTATTTTCCTCCAGGAACTTCATCTTAATGGAGACGTCACTACGGAGTCGCTCATATTTTTCTCTGTGGAGATGGTACTCATGCTGGGCCATCTCGATGCGAACCATGGCAGCTGCGTCTCTCGGGCCCAAGCTGAGCTCCTCCAGATCAGACCGATAAGCGTCAAACTCAAGTCTGCACATTACAATTCATGCAACAAGCAAACAAACATCAGAAACAAGCATTTACAGCGATTCAAATGAGATTCTTAAACCCCTGATAAGAAGTCTTTTTTTTTTTTTTACCTTGCATTTTCATACTGCTTAATGGTCATCAAAGTGTCCTCCATTGTTTTATTAACCAGGGTGTTCACACTGGACACAAAAAAGTTGATGGCACCAAGCAGAGACTCGCCATTCTTACACAGCAGCTTTTGTGTTTCTGCATTGTACCCGAATTCATCCTGCAGCAAAACACAACTGTTACCTATAAATTTCCCAACACACCATGTTGAGAGGTGTTTGCAGCACCGTACCTGCAACTCTGGTGACTTCTGGCTCAGATCGGTGAACGTGTCCCCGAGAGCTTGCTGCGTCTGCACCATGTTTTGAAAATGAGTGATGAGTGCGGTGGCCAGTCTTAGGATGTTTTCATACTTGCTCTTGGTGTCCCTCAACACGTCGATCTGAGCTTCCAGTTCCAGGTCGACTGTTCGGGAACCTCTGCCAAACTTCTCAGAGAACATCTGTTTTGTACACTAAAAACAATACATAAGAACAATAAGCATATTTGATAGTGCTGACAATTTCTGTTGAGTTTTTGATTGAAAATTGTTCACGTTACACCTCAACTGTCATTTTAGTTAACTTTTTGTTTTCATTTATGTTTGCTGATGTACATTTAAAGGTCTCATTCACTGGTTATGTCAACTCTGGTGTGGTCTCTAGTATAAATAAGCATGTTATCGTTGTCGGAACTTCAGGGTATTTTCTGAGAGTGGGGAACTGGGAGACACGATGGCCTGGTACTCTCAGCTCTTGGGAGTTCTGTACAAATTCAGCCCTTTAAGTACTTTTCACAGACGTCAGCATATCCTGACTGCTTTCTGCAGTGAGTGATGTCACTGATCAGCGCCAAAAAGCGTTCACAGTAACATTACAAGTTTTATTCTGTTGAAGAACACCAATTTAATCAATTCGGAGGACAAGAGCAGCTGTGTGATGTAAAATTTGGCGATCAATAATAGAAGCACCGTTTTTTACGGCGCTGTTAGACAACAAAGCCTGTGAATTACGTCGTTGTGGGGGAATTTCTGCAGCGTTTTTCGGTGTTAGGAATGTAGTTACAGTGATTTTAAAGCAGCATGAATGGTTCTTATTTGCTTGTGCTTTTATTCTGCTTCACAAGCAACTCTTCTAATTTTACTAATGCTGGTTGTTTTGGACAGCGTCTGATGATGTCATTTCCTCCTGAGTTACAACCAACCATGTAAAATGTGGCGTTAACGTAAAGTGTGAGTTAATCAAAGGTTCCACTCAGCTACTACGCCGGGCCACTCCGAGTTCCTGAAAATGGCCCGTTAGTCCGGCCTGCTGAAGTGGAGACACGCAAATGCTGAGAAGCTCTGGTAAAATTACCCTGAAGTTCCAATAGTGGCAACACACCTATTGAATGCCTTGTGCATCATTTTCTGTAAAGAAATAAAGCTCTTGCACTCATGTTTCAGGAGGTCTCAACTCTGATTGGCCAACAGCAACGTGACTCTTGCACTCTCTTCATTCGCTTTTCTTTCTTGGGTAAAAAAATGCAACACTGATGTTTTATCTCCACAATAACAAGCAGGAACATGTTCCGCCATGTTGTGAACTTGATGGTCAGCTTCTACTTGCCCTCTCCTTTCCATGGGTGGTCTCAAGGTGGGCGGGGCCATGAATGCTAATTTTCCTTGTGACTTACAAAAGTCTGGCTTTTTCTGACCATATTGTTTTCCTGTTTATTTCCTTTCTGTGGCCAATGCAGGCGATGGGGGTTGAAGAAATACCCAGTGACCAATCATATTTCAAAAATAACAAATATTACACTCCAAGCAAACGAGACCAGTAAAAATGTTTTTAAATTAAATCAAACCATCCACTATTAAAAATAGATCTTACACTTTATTGAGATAGGTTCTACAATAAAAAGGTTGTCACATTGTTAACATAATTAACTCACAACAATAAGCTGTTTCAATAAGCCCAACCCTGACCCTGACCTCACTTTATTGGAAAACAGGATTAACGATTAAAAGATTACCTGAATTAAGCTAAGTCATAGAAGGGTATCCGCGGGTCCTTAAAAAGTCTTAAATTTGCTTTTCCAAATTTAAGGCCTTGAAAATCCTTAAAAATGACAAATAATCCTTAAATCCAGTTTCCAAAGGTCTTAAATTACCAAAGACCCAATAAACAAGATTATTTTATTTCTATAACAGGGTATCTGCAGGTTTAAGGGAGCCAAATTTAAGACTTTTTAAGATCTTTTATGAGGCCACTTTGACCAAATTTAAGCTTTTTTTTTTTCAATTAAATTTAAGCTATAATTTCCAGCTATTGCCTGGAACCGGTGCTAACCACGTTGCGAAGGTGGGATTAGCCATCTAGATACCATTAAACTTGCACTTTCCCATGGCGCAAGCTCCCACTAGCTTAACCAGCTAATGTGCTCATCTAAAAATAGCCCCTTTTCACAACCAGCTGAATGTGTACGGTTCCACTTATGCAAATGCCATACACAAAAAATGCTGAACACAAACTAGAAATTCACAAAAAAAATTTTTTAGAAATAAAAGAGTCTTATTAATTGGGTCTTTGGTAATTTAAGACCTTTGGAAACTGTATTTAAGGATTATTGGTCATTTTTAAGGATTTTTAAGGCCTTAAATTTGGAAAAGCAAATTTAAGACTTTTTAAGGATCCGCGGATACCCTGTATAAAAATTTTCGTGAATTTCTAGTTGGTGTTCAGCGTTTTTTGTGTACGATGTTGGCGTAAGCGGAACCGTACACATTCAGTTGGTTGTGAAAGGGGGCTATTTTTAGATGTGCACATTAGCTGGTTAAGCTAGTGGGAGCTTGCGCCATAGGAAGTGCAAGTTTAATGGTCACTGGATGTTAATCCCACGTTCAAGACGTGGTTAGCACCGGTTCCAGGCAATAGCTGGAAATTATAGCTTAAATTTAATTTTAAAAATAGCTTACATTTGGTCAAAGTTGTCTTAAAAAAGGTCTTAAAAAGTCTTAAATTTGGCTCCCTTAAACCTGCAGATACCCTGCATGGTAACCGTCCTCACTTTTTTCTCTCATATACTACTTTTGTTTGTATTTCTTTGCTACAAGTTTTAAGATGTTAAATTGTTTAATCTGAAGTAAAAAAAAAAAAAGATCCACTTTGAATAAATTACCTTTACAGTCTACAATACCTTGTATGTGTTAATGCCCCATTTCTTTACACTGTCCAGTTTCTCCACAGCTACGCCACGAGAAACCTCTTCGGTTGAACCGTTGTTATGATTCAAGGATCCTTAAGGGTAAAACAGATAAATCATAAAAATGTACATTTTATCTACTTTGTTTTCATGTTTTAGCATGAATGACAAAAACTAAAGACAGCATGGGGATGGGGATGAAGAACTTGGCGATACCTTGATGCTGGACTGAGTGATGGGCAAGCCGACTGGCTGAAGAGTGACTCTGAGACAAGCTAACTCCCCTGGATTTCATGCGAATGTCTGAAATAGGCAGTGGTAGTGATGAAATGTTGACATGAGAAATTTTAGATGAATGGAGCGAAAACTGAAAGTGAAACATACAATGTGCATGTGCATGAGAGAAAATGCAGATTAAAGTAAACTTATCGGGTTATGTGAACAAAAAAATGCAAAAAGTTGGGGTCAATGAAGGTTTAAAGACATATTGGTCCATGATGCAGCTTTCTCATGCATACAAAAACAAACAAAAAACGATAATGGACAATATGAGATGAAAAGCAGACAAGTAACCCAAAGGAAGCATTTTTATTGGGCATGAACGCAAAATTTTCAGGAATGTTAGTGCAGCCTTCATTTCCAAAGCTGCCAAATATTTGTTGCTAATGTGAGTTGGGTAGGTACAAGCAAGGTTGCATACAATTCCCTCCAGGACTGAAACCTTTTACGGGAGTCCAGAAACCCAAATGCATACAGTAAAGGTAAAGGAGGAAAACCAAAATGTTATCATCAGATTACTAGGCCACCTTGTACGGGTGCAGGGGCTCGCCTTCTGTCCAGATACTCAGGGTTGTAGTGAATTGCAGGTCCTAAAGAATATGAGGTTTGTAAAATAAGCCAGCAGCACTGAGGCCAGCAACCACACAGACACGAAGGAAAGATTCTTCTCAAAGTGTATGATGTCCTGCCTTCCTTCAGCTACTGAAGGATTATGACAACACCGATGGATCTCTGGCAAAGCTAAAAATGGTTTGCAACTGGAGTGGGAGAGTGAAGATGGAGGATGGAAAGAACAGTGTGTGTGCGCTGCCTAAGATATAAACATCAGCAGAATTGCTGAATAAAAGGTTTAATTATTATCTGAATATTAAAGCTTCTTTCCGGAGTATTTCTCTTATCCAATGGCACCATCTAGTGGCTGACAAGCATATCACACTCCTTCTGTTTTTTAAGATGGCGACTTCACGTTTCTGTTTATAAATGTGCTTCTGTGGCCGATACACAGAGCTAAAACACGTTGTTTTACGAGTATTATTCTCGTGTCATGTTGTGTTCTCATATATTTATATTTAGAGACTTACTTGTCCGTGAAAAGTTCATCAGCTCTGCATCAGCCGAGGTATTCCTTAAATTTGAAGCAAGTAAGCGGTAGTCTAACACTATTGGTTCGTTCTGGTCGGCGCTCAATTTCCTATTGCACGGAGTTCTGAGGGGCAGGGGGCGTGCTTAGCAAAAAAAAAAAAAAAGATGTATTGCTTACATTATATCACAGTACATGATAAGACAATCACTTTTATGGATTTCTGACAAATTATACATCATTTCTGAAAGGGGAAAACTCCGGAAATCTGCTTTAAGTTTTGAAAGAGTGACTCTTTTTTAAAGTAACAATAGATAGTTTTTTAAACTTTAAGCTAACATGGATCTTAGTGATATTTGGGTAAGAAATTTGACCAGTTTCATATTTGACACCACACTGCTGACATAAGAAAAAACACACTTCATAGTTTGTGGAGCAGGTAGGTGTCCTAGGGGGCACTCTTTATCTGCTTTACAGCTGTTAGCTGTAATGCTATCGGTTAGCATTTTCATTTCGCTGACCTTCAATACAAAGCACACGAAGAATAAATAGAAGCAGTTTGCTTTTTCTGTTGGCATCATGGCAGAGCCTGAAAGTAAAAGTAAGAGTAATGTTTTTGGAGATTAAGCAAAGAGTTAAAACCGGAGTGAATAACGGCGCGGCCTACACTAGTTTGAGGTAGCTAAAGGAGGCTTCAAAATCACGGACTGATGGTGACCTGGCTTTGTTGCTACTTTACTTGAAATTAATAATATTATTTGTCCAACATTGTGGATCTTTTTTTACTTTGTGGTTTATTTTAGTATTAGTCAACTCATGTTAGCGTTAGCTCATCATTAGAGCTAGCTGCAGCAGGGTTGTTTACGACACCTGTAATTTCACTTTCAAAGTAGAGCAGAGGAGCAGGAAACTGCAATGTGTTACTTTAATGTACCTTTACATTTGTTTCATCTTTACAGAGCAAACCATTTTTTATTAGATGAAAACAACCTGAAACTTGTAAAGTTTGCCTGTCTGATCTGATTGCGGTACCTTTAATGGTGCTTGTGGGAATGATGCCCCCAGCAGGTCCTCCATAACCACCTGAGACAATGCTGGTTTCATTCAGGTTGGGTCCAGACACCATCACCTGCTGCAGATCCTGATGGACAAAAGCCAAATAATGACCATATATATGGTTTAAAAGTCATATCATCACAATTTTTGTAATTTGCATGAACTGTGATATGTACTAAAATGACAATGAGCACCATCAATGAAGAAAAAAATCTTTGAGGATGTATAAAGCATAAATGTTTTCATTTCATCATGAAAAATTATTTTTATTAGAGTTTGTGGAAATTTTTTGAAAAACCTTTCAAATTTGTTACTTTTATGCTCTGCATATAACCACCGTATTTTTAAAACCATTGTTTTCTCCCTGAAAAAGCTTTTCTCCTCTGTTTTTATATTTGCAACTAAACTTTTGTAGATTATCAAATATCTACTTCTGGGGAGAAATAAACATGTACTGAAAAAAATACTTAAAAGTATTCCATCAGCAAGCAGAGTAGGACATAAATCAAAGAGTGGGATTATTTATGGTAAACAGCTTGAAAGAGGCAAATTCAAAATGAACTTTTTAAAATAATGAATATTTTAAGAGATCCATTTTGGCAGGTGCTCCTGTTGGTTAGGATAGATCATTATTGCCCTGAGCCACAGGCCTGTGCATAGTTAGCTACTGCCTCAGCAGCTTAAGTCCATAACATACGCACTGGTCCTATTAAAAAGAACCACAAATGATATGTAAACAACACCAGGCTGCTAACAGTGAGGTGAAAGAATATGTGACTGTCTGACCTGCTCCAGGCTGTCATCCTCTGGAAGAGACCCAGTATCCCCATTGCTGTTAATGGGGATCTCCATGGTAGCAGCCTTGCTCATGATATTGTCTGCCATAATGGAATATCTGCAAAACAAGAAGCGATGCGAACTGTTATTGCAGTAACAAATAAATAGCATTTTTTTTTCATCTACATAGAAACAAAAGAAGCAGCTCACTTGAAGCGGAGCTAACGTGGCAGAGTAGCAGCTGCGGTGCTGATGTGGCTGGTTGGTGCTACCAAGCTAGGAATAAAATCCAGTCTTTCGAAAAAGAAACAAGCTGCAAATGTTCCGTGAGCTGACTGAATGTTAGATCCACTCAGCTGAAAAACAGAACTGTTTTAATGTGGATATATCATTTATCTACATTAGTTACATGATTACCTGCCTGCTGTTCTTTATTCAGGCAGAAAATCCCTGCATCTAGCTAGCTAGCAGTTTAACGGTATCCCTTCAAAATAAAAGCTTGCTTAAAGTTTATTTCTATTTGCAATTACATTTACAAGATAAAACAGCAAATATGTACAGTAAAGTACTCTATTTGTGTTTTTTTGTGCAAGTTGCATAAAAACAACAGGTAGGACTGGACATTTTAACTGCGACGCTCTTATTTTGAAGCGTAATACTTTTAACATATAGCATCACCCCGAAGCTTCCTCCCCCACACAATCTTCCACGTAGTGTTGACGTTCCGTTGAGCTACTGTTTTATGGACCGCAACCCCGGCCGCAACACGACTATAAAATAAGTGGCTGGAGTTCTGTCGGTCCAAACAGCACGTCAGCCCACCGGGTAATCGGTATATACCAGAAAGCCAGTCCGCCCGTAACAGGTGTTGTGCCGAAAACAATGGCCTCTTAGACAGGTCCCTCCTAAAATACATTCAGAAATAATGTAGTTATTTTATTTTTCTGCTATATGTTCATCCACTCTAAGCAGCTATTTTAGGTTAATAATTCGTTTTAAGATTTGCAAAGTGAAGTTGGTTTATGAAAATTTGAGTTTGGGGTTTGTGTATGCAAATATCGTTTCTGTTTGATAACTCAGGAAATTATGTGACCTCATGCGGTTTTGGAAAATTTTATGTAATGCACCATCAAATATTTTACCCAACAACAAAAAGTTGCGGGAGTCAAAAGGGAAAAGGTTTTCTGCTGCAAGTTATTAGCCTAAACCAATTTATTGCCATGCAAAGTTTAAATGATGTCTTTATTTAGTTTGGCTTGCCAGGCTAGTAAGCAGAGGTGTGACCAAGTCACTGCTTTGCAAGTCACAAGTCTTTCCAGTCCAGTCTCGAGTCAAGCTCAAGTCAAAGACAACCAAGTCCAATTCGAGTCCGAAGTCAGTCATGTGGAAGTCCAAGTCAAATGAGTCCAGTTTAATGACAATGATAATAAATTCCAGAATTAAAGCTTCTTAAAGCTTCATTTATTTGCTCAAAGCAGAAAGTGCAACTGAAATAGATTATAAACAAAGTGCTGCTGCATTTAGCAGAACAACATCAAACCCAGAACGAAGAATGATTTTTGTCCATGTCGTGCCACTCTTGTGCTAAAATATCAAATATGCTCAAGTCATCATCTAGTCAACAGATGCAAGTCGATTCAAGTAGCAAATCATAGGTGTTCAAGTCCGAGTCAAGTCGTAAGTCTTTATAGATTTTATCAAGTCAAGTCAGAAGTCATTAAAAGAAAGATGCAAGTCTGACTCAAGTCCAAGTCATGTGACTCCAGTCCTCACCTCTGCTAGTAAGTTAGTTCTTGGTGAAGATCAGAATCTAAGCTGTATAAAGATGGAAACAGGAAAACTAGAATAGGTGCCCCTCAAAAAGATTCTTACTCCGTTGTCAAATTCAAGCACTTTTAAATCAGCCATTTACATTGTGGATAAATACGTACACAATTTTCACAAATATTTAACTGTATTATCTCTTAAGTGTAAACTCTTCATTTCAAAATCCTAACATTTTCAAAACTGTGAAATGATCACTATTAAACCTGGAATTACCCAGATTATATGTACTTATTTCAGACTTTACTTCTATTTATTGCTCATAAACAAAAACATGTTTTATCATTAACTGAAAGAAAAAAATATCCAAGACAATCAGATGCAGTGAGAGGTAAAAACAACCCTGCACTTTGCAACACTTGTTGCAGGTAAGACATCATACAGGAGAAACTCAAAAAACTAAAATATGGTGCAAAAGTTCTTTTATTTCAGTAATTCAGCTTAGACCGAGAGACCATTTAAAGGCACCTTTGCAGGTGTTTTTGGTTAATTACCTGATTAGAGTGTGACACTTTGAGCCATTACTCTAATAATGCAAGGGTATAAACTAAAATGTAAGAATTACTTTCAAATGTATTTAATTACAACAAACATGCATGCAAATTTTTCCCAGCATAGTTTCACGGAGGTGGACCGCCTGGATGGTTTTACATGCCTACTTTGATTTACTGTAATTCTGTAACAGTTTGTGCCACCAGAAAGATTCAAACGTTTTTGTTAAAGATAATAAGCTGTGCTTTTAAATCCACCTAGTGAATAACTAAATAGAAAAAGTGGTCAAAGAGGAGTCTCCACTGCACTGGAGAGCCACCGGAACAGAGAGATGGAAGCAGCCTTTATAGGGCAGGAGGTCACTGAGTTCAGGTGCTTCAAACGCTGATAACACGGTGTCTGCAAACAGAAGAGAGAAAAAACAAAACAGGACAACCAACACTCTGGAAGAAACCAAACAGAGAGCTAATAAAGCCTCATTTGCATCTAATATGGAGCAAATTGACTCCGGCTGACATTCTCAGTGACCTAGTGGTAGGGTGTCCACCCTGAGACTGAGATTGAAGTACAAATCCTGGTCGGGTCATACCAAATACATTCAAAATGTGACCCAATGCCTCCCTGCTTGACACTCAGCTTTAAGGGGTTGGATTTGGGGTTTAATTCACCAAATAGTTCCCGAGTACAGCCGCAGCTGCAGCTCACCACTCTCCCACGGGGATGGGTCAAATGCTGAGATTTCACCAGTGTGTGATGATGACTAATGGGACTTTTACTCTATGGCTTCCACATAGACTAAGACCAGTAGCGGTTTTAGGCACGGGCCAACAGGGCAGTTGCCCGGGGCGGCATTTTTTCATGACACAAAAGGGGCGCACAAGCGCGGAGTAAAAAAACAAAAAAAGGAAATCTGCGCGCACAGAGGTTTTCTATTATCTGTCATATGACAGTGTCTGGATTGGAAACAGCAAGTTGGCGCCCCCTGCAGCTGCAGGCGCTCCTGCTGACTGAGAACGTTCACGTGCACCGTGTGTCTATGAAGAACAGGAAGGGGAGGGGTGTGGCGGGGGAATTCACCTCTGCGTCTTTCCCAAATGAAATGAGCGTGCAGGGGCTGAATCAACTGTATTAACATGGCTAAAGTCAATCACATCTTAACGTTCTTCTATATTTCATTCATAATATCATAAACACAGGCCTATCATTCTTTCAGGTTTCTCTGAATTGTGTGAAATGGCCGAATAAAAAAAAGGAAAAACAAAACGATTTTGTGGTCACCCCCCCATCAAGGTCAAATAGTTTAGTCCTGACTAAAGGAAACTTACTGAGTCAGGAGCCAAACAGAAGAGATGAACATAAAAAGGCTAAAACCACCAGGTGCCCCATTCAGGGGGAAAAGGAAAAAAAAGAAAAAAGAGGAGAAAGATAAAGGTATGTAGCTCTCATGATGCATGTTTTCAATTTTTTGAACCAGTTAACTGGGATTTTAACGGTTAAATGCGGTCAACTAATTGCTAACAGAGCTAATAGGGCTGAAATATTGAAACGAATATTCAAATGGTTCGAAAAAAGTCCTTGAATTGTTTTTTACTGATTCAAACTAGGATTTGTTAAATGCTCACTGCAGCCTGTGGCCTGCCTGAACAACAACAAACACATGTTGATCATGTTCACATAATAATAAATAAAACGACTCTGCAAGCAGAAGAAAACTCCCCAGTCACCACTAACTATCCTGTTTATTTATTGCAGATGGCTGCACTGATTATTTTTACATGATTTGTTCTGTAAAAGTTGGCATTTTTGGTAGTCTACAGTTTTTTATGTCAGTTTAAATTACAATTTCAGAGGCAATTCTAAAATATTATGGATCATGATAAAGATCTATTGGAGATCTACCCCAACTTTTGGACTGCTCTGCCAGTCACTGTGGCTCCAGCTGAGAGGAGCTTTTCAAAACTTGATCAAGTCATACCTGAGGTCAACTATGTTTCAGGGGCCGCTCACTAACCTGGCTCTGATTAGTATCAATCACTCAGTAGGGGAGCAGATTTCATATGATGACATTATTGATGACGTTGCATCAAGGTTAGGTTTTAATTTTAGTTTGTGTTTTCTATTCTAAGTGCAGTGCTGTAGTGATTATCTTTAGTTTGTTATGTGTGAAATATTTTTGCTATTTAGAATATTTATTATAAATTATGTTCATATATTCTTAATATTTAGTTATTGTTTGTTTTTGTATATTTGATTCTATATATTTTGATACAGTATATAATGTATAGTGCTTTACATTCTGACAACTTCATAGTAATTAATGTAAATATGTGCAACTTAGAAAAATGAATGTTCAATAGTCGTTCTAATAAAACATGCCTGTTTGTAGAAAACATGCGTGTGTTCGTGTAGGTGTGGTGGTGGTGGTGGTGGTGGTGGGGGGGGCGGTTGGGGCGCTCAAAGGGGGCCTCGCCCGGGGAGTAATTCGATGTAGAACCGCCACTGACTAAGACATTGGGTGTGTCCGAATCCGTGGGAAGGATGCTTGTAAGGGCGCATTTTGAGGTCGATGACGTCACAGCGCAGCAACGAGTACTGTCCGAATTCCAAGAATATTCATACTCGCGTCCTCAAATGCGTCCTCGCTCCACCCACATTTCGAGGATGGGTCTGTTGTATCCTCACAGAACAAGGCTATCCCAGCATGCGAGCCGGCTGTGGATTTTCGACAGGCAGAGAAAATGGGGAGAGCTACGAAGTTTTAAACGTAAGTTTGTTGAAAACTAGCCGTAGAAACCTAAAAAGCTTAAAGCGGTTCTGTTTATAGACATTTTTCATTTGTATATTCGTTTTTTAAATTACATTTTAGGCAGAAATCCTCTAGAACGAGTTTGTATCGCGGGTCCCGTAGTTATTCCCGTGTGTGTGTAGCGAATTAAACTTGTCATTTGTTTTAGGGACAACAGAGCATTTTTATTAAGCTAAGAGGTGAAGATTGAAGCTGTTTATGCATGAGTACAGTTGTTCTTCTGTGTTCCGCTGTGAAAAGTAGTTTTACATTCAGACAGCTTACATTTTAAAGAACAATTAAAATTGTGTTTGTGTTTCTTTAGCAAATTAAGCTTCTTATCATTTGTTTTAAGGACAACAGCGCAAAGAAGTGGTTT